TAACGGACGTATCCAGCTGAAGATACTTTTCCACATTTGCATTTTATTCTTTGAAAGTTTCTTGCCAATGCAGCTTGCCTTGTGAGAGGCAAACTGTGTTAGTTTGCTGGAGCTGCCGTAAGAAAGCGTGGTGAACTGTGTGACTGAAACCACAGAGCTGTTGGTCCCACAGTTCTGGAGGCTGAATCCAAGGTCAGGGTGTCGGCAGGGTTGGTTCCTTCTGGGGGCTGTGAGGGATTCAGGCCTCCCTCCCGGCTTCTGGTGGTTCGCTGGCTGCCTTTGGCCTCCCCGGCTTCCACAGCACCATCCAGTCTCTGGCCGCATCTTCCTGTGGCGTCTTCCCAGCGTGTGTGTCTGTGTCCAGATGTCCTCTTGTTATGAGGACACAGTCATAACTGGATTTGGGGCTTGTCCTTCTGTCTGGCTTCATCTTAATGAATTACATCTGCAGCGACCCTGTCTCCAGCTAATGTCACATTCTGAGGTACTGGGGTTAAACTTCAGCATATAAATTTGGGGGGGACACAGTGCAACCGTAACACAGACCATGAATTCTCAGCATCTTAGGAAGCAGTTATAGTAGTTGTATGCTGGGCCCACCCCTTCCCGTCACAGTCAGAATTGCTCTCCTTGGTGCCCCTCTGCTCCCCGTTGTGTCTCAGCCTGGCAGGCGTTGTGCGCTCTTGAGAAGCGCTGCCTTGTCCGCAGACGTCGGTGAACAGTGGCTGGTGGTGTCTGGGGGCCTTTTCTCGCCGGAGGTTGTCCTCAGTACTAGTCCTTTAACGTTGCCCTGTTTGTGCCTCTAGGAGACGCTGATCCAGCAGCACGTGTCATTTCATTAGGTCCTGTATCTGATGTTGTGGATAGTGGAGTCCTCCAGCAATTGAGTGAGAGCAGTGGACACATCTCAGCATGTCGGTCTAGAGACTTGCGAACTTAAACCTGGGACAGGCTGGGGCCGTGAGGCGGGAAGAGCAGCCTCTGCCAACACCGGAACAAGCCGACGCTTCCCGACGAGGCGCGAAAGGCCTTTTGTATGGAAACCACGCGAGGGTTAATCTTCTGTTGAGAATGGCAGTCAAGGAATGAGACGGTTGACTTGACTCCTGAGCAGTTACACTGAGAGGAGCGTCAGTGAGATGACTGAGCCGGAGAAGAAACGGTTGTGATGGTAATGGTATGGGGGAAACGAACTTGAGGTTAAACTTGATTTGAGTTACAGTGTCTCTGAATTGAACATCCCATGTTGGAAAAAGATACACTTGGGGGCTCCAGGACTGCAGTAGACAAGCATAGAGCAAGCGGTAAAATCTCCTAGTGAAAG